TGTCCCGCAAATGTCCCAACAACATCCCCCAAAAATCAGTTCTGACCCCAGATCAGTTCATCTGGTGTTTTTGCTGCACACGTGTCGAGCTCTGAAGGGTTCGAGGCCCCAGCTTCGCTTCCCCAGCTCCATGATTTGTTGAAAGCGTTCCTCCTCCACTCTGGGTGGCGCGACCGCAGGAGAAGGCGCACGGGAGACCCGTGGGATGTAATGAGGTGCCTCGTGGAGTGGAGACCTTTGACGATGGGAACAAGGCGAAAAGAAGTCGGACCCATATATATATATATAATACATAAGTACATGCAAGTATGTGGAGGTTGAGTCTATACAGTATACATGAATGAATCTGGTGAACTGTCATTGTGTCAACATGGATCAGATACTTAGATTGGCTGGGGTGCTGCTAGCCGATGTGAAACAGCAAAACATTTACTGTATGTGTTTAGCAGGCTAAATAGTTAAAACTGACCGTGTTTCATAGTTGTTACAATTTTGCACTTGTTATCACTTGTTAGCAAACTATGCTAACTGTGTCATTTTCTATTGTTGTTGGTAGGAATTGTTACTATAAAGTTGCGTCCCCCAAAATCTGCTTCAATGCGTGGTGGTTCTCAATATGTGACTTTCATCTCATGTGGGAAAATATTGTTTTGTAAGATTGAAATTTGATAGTTTTTGTATTACACACTGTGTGCATTAGCCTGTGGGATTGCCTCTGGCTGGGCATGATTTTTTGCAGCAAAGCATGCATGGGCAGCACGTGTGGATTTAGAATCCTCGTTCTTGCGTCCATGCGCTGTCAAGAAAATTGTGCGCTTTCTTGGTTTGGCCTGTTGCATTTCGAACCCAAACTTATTCAACTTGCCATGGGGCACTCAAACGAGACCCACAGGACGGGGAGAAGCGCAAGCGTTTTTTGTACTGGGTCAGTGTCTTGGCAAGACGACTTTATGCTCCGTCAGGGAGGTGGGAAATGAACTTCGGTGTCGGAGGCCGGGTACGACGGACATGGTGTACTAGGGTGAATGTTTATACCTTAGGCTTCGACGCTTATTTATCTTACCGGGTTGTGTGTTTTTTGAGGGTCCCCTTGCAAGCATTGGTTGTGGGAACAGAAGCATCCAAACACTGCAAAGTGATGAAGCACAGCACCCCTTTGCTGCATAAACAACGCGTGTAGTCATGTATTGGCTCTGAGGCTGGACCAAGCGACCAGGCCTTGCCTTTTGGGGGTGGTTGACAGGAGCAAGGTATGCGGACTGTAGTCTGACACCACCTATCGATTTGTTTTGAAAACTCTGCTGTGTTCCACAAATTTCAGTGTCAGTGGCCAAATCCAAGTCTTTCAACATAGTGTAACTGGCAAGGGATATCAAGGGATGCTTGCACTTGGGTCTTTTGCTTGCCCAAAGGGCTTGTCGACAATACATAGTTCCAAAATCAGCTTGAAGCATTGCACAGTGGAACTTGCAAGCTCTTCAGGTGTGCTGGGATGAGGCATCGCAGCTGGAAAGCACAACAGGGCTTGTGATAGCAATGCGCGGCAGAAATCTAATCTTGGTGCTGGCACAATCAAACTTGAGTGCATGTTTGGGTGCCAAGTATTCCGATGCTGTAAAAATTTCAGCTAAGGCAACCTGCAAGTCACCCAGCTCCAGAAGTGCTTAGATGCTGCCACACTGGAAAGGCAAGTTGCATCAAGTTGCCACATGCATCACAATCAAACAAAATAGCATCACCCGCATTAGTCACCATGCCACTTCCCAATCTGCAAGAGTGCGCAATCAAGCATTCTGAAGTGATAAACAGCAAAGTATGTTGCATCAAAAGCTGGTGGAGCCTTCTGTCAGGTTTTGTTGCTCTTTTTGCAGATCTAGCGTGTCAGGCATTGGAAAGTGAAAAAGGCACTGGCTATGCAGCAAATTATGCAGCAAATAGCCTTTCGGACAAAAAACTGTTTACACAGCTGTTTCAAAACTGAAAATACCCAGATAATTTTGCAATTTTTGAGTGAGCCCTAACTAGTTGTAAATAGTGATATGTTACTAACAGTGGTGTTAATTGTGCGAACTCTATTAACTAGTTAGCAACACCCCAGCCGATCTAAGTATAGCCCAGTAGCTGTCATTTTGGAGGTGTCCATGCCCCGTGACTACACGACAATTGACCGTACGGCCAACATGGTAGTCCTCCTCCCTCCTCTGCTCTTCTTTGCTGGGGCCCATCCTCAGCTTCATGGCGCCATGCACCAGGGGTGCTCCTGGGTAATCCCAATATGAAGAAGGATTTGTTCAGCGAATCCCCTGCATGGCTTTGGGATAAGCCCTTCTCACTCCTATCCGGGCTGGCTATTGAATATTCACCAGAAGATGGTGCCTACCACTCGCTGCTCTGTAGATCTTTCTTAGATTTGTCTATGCTACAAAATGCTACAAGCATGGCTTCCATGCCTCCGAAACGTGTTGAACTGCGACCCTTTCGATCGTTTCTGCACATGTCAGCCGAATGGCGGCCATGTATATATACATATATGTATACACAACTAAATATAGAACAATATATACTATTATTGTATATGCATGTATATGCGATACTCGGCATCTCGTCGGGTGCTTGTCATTGACAGAAGGACCGGGTGGAGTCTCCAAAGGGTTACAGTCAACCATTTAAACCCTCATCGCGAGGCACTCATAAACCCTCATCACTGGCAGGATTAACGAACTTGCCAATCATTGAAACAGAAAACCTTGCCCTGGGTGGATCCTTGACCAACTGCTTGCTCGTGTCGGATCTCTCGCCAGGGCTGCTTGCTCCTGAGGTCAGGTTTTAAACCCAACAAATGCTTTTTCCAAGCAGTATTTCGCTCTCAAAAAACAACAAAAGCACACCAGGCAGGGACAGACAAGAACTGACCCAAAGAGCTCTACATCTCTGCACCGTGCGCGGACATGTCTGCAACTTTCTGCAACGTGTGGTATTCAGAAATGTAAAGAACTCGACCAAGGGTCAGGACATAACATGCTCTCTGTTGGTTTGATGTTTTGGAGAGCCATACCAGCTGGCGGAGCATGTATGCTCCCTGTCACCAGGGGTAAATACAACCAAGCCACATGTACCAAGGTATGGGTGTGCGTATGTGTGCGTTAGAGCCGGGAGACCCAAAAGAAATCGGTGTCAATCTATAAATAGATATAAATAGTGTTCCTCTTCCAGGGAGTCACCCTCGTCTATTGAAAACCCCTATTGCTGGCTTCCACTTGTTTTTGTTCGCACACTTTGGTCTTGGCACGCTCACCTTTCCGCCGATTCTGGAGACACAACTGACTGCTTCTTGCTACTAACGAGTGCATCGCTACTAACAACTCCATTACTATTAGTAACAAGAAGCTACTAGTAGCGATGCCCTTGCTACTAGTAATGCCCTTGTTACAAGTTGCGATGCCCTTGTTTTCTAGCTTGGAAGCGTGTATTTGAGTTCAAGCTTTCGTCTCGCTACTCACAGTTGATGATAGACGTCTCTGAACATCTCCAAAGTCCCTGTCTGACACATACATTGTTCTGACACCCTATCTGCCACGACCTTTCCCTCAGGACCGGAGGTAGGACGAAAGCCACCATTTGCTTTTAAAGAAAACACATCCCCCCCATGGAAACAACGCCCAAATCAAAAACATTATTAATATAGATAAATAAACATATATATATATTGATCAACACCCAAGTTCAGTGAAGTTCTGCCCTTCTACAAATGCGATGGTGAAGCCCGTGGCTCCTTCTTCAAGCTCTGCTCCATGAGAATATGGCTACGCATGGGCTCATGCATGGCGAAAAGAACGGCGCAGCCAGGCCAATATTACAAGGAGAACGCCACAACACATCAAGTCAGCCTACTTCCACCCGTAGAATTGATTGAACTATATATCCTTCTTCTGAGAAGCCTTTTGGGGGTGATCGTGAAGTGGTCGATGGGATTTTCGTCAAATCATGAATTGCTGGAAATCTACAGTGAATGCCACTTCTGGCAAATGAGCTGCATATTTAGCTGCGGAAAAGAATGCAGTCAACCGCAACCCGTTCCTGCAATTGCACAACAAGAGGATGGGTCAAATCTGGAGCCCCAGCATCATGTAGCTTGACCTTCCAAGTAGGTCAACCAAGGTATCCTGTTTTTGACCCGGGACCCAGGGCCACAAAGATTCACAGCAGCCATGGTCTCAAACTGCACTACACACTTCTTTCAACATCTATGAGCTATGGGCTACCCCAATGTCATCGGGTTACAAGGCGGAATTTTGTTTGATGCGGTCCCCGATTTCCGCAGGATCAACCTGCTAGGACAAGCCTGACAGCTGTTTCTGTTGTGTTAATCAACATTATCACATATTATCACGCATGATTTCTCCCGCGCGGTCAGAACATACTGAGTACATACTAGTACTAGTACAAAGATTGGGAGCTTGGCAAGCCTGATTCTTTTTCCCATGGCAAGTTCTTTTCCAAGTCGTTCTCCGCACACCTTCACCTTCACGCCCACGTCAACATCAAGCTCGCTTTTCGGATGCACCGTGGCGGTGCACCGTGGCGATGGCCGTGCGACCGGGAAACACCTCTCCTTCGCATTCTCTCCGAAGATCAGGGGTCCTCAGGTCGACCGAGTCCATCCCTCTCCTCGTTGCTTTGGGACCTGAACGAATCTCCGGTGACCTGGATCTTGGGATCGGTGATGGTTCTGGCTGGTAAACATCGAAGCAGCGTCTCAGTCTCCTGTGTTGTCTCTCCAGGTACCAGTTTGTCTCTTGGCCCACGTGTTGTCACGGCTCTCCACAGTCTCCTGCAAGTCTCGGTCTCCAGCAAGATGGCTCTTGAATGCTCTTGAGAAAAGACCAGTGAAGCATCGGTCTCAGTGGTGGATCTCACTCTCGGCTCTCATGAAGGCATTCGGAAGATGGTCCATCCTCTGTCCATCATCTCAATTTGCTCTGGAGAGGCAGACCTGGCCGACCTGCAGCCCATGCATGCGATGCCCACGCACACGAGCTCGAAGATGTATGCAGCAGCCTTGGTCGGACTTGTGGACTCCTTCTGAAAACAGTATGGTGAACGAGCAGTTGCAGTGCTTTAAACCGTACGGCAACCGTTTCCAGTGTTTAAACGCCAGCTCATTCTACAGCTTAAACATATCAAAGTGAGGATGAACTTGGCGTCCAGTATTTACATCCCCTTCAACTTAGGTCTACTCTTTTTGGCCTTTGAAATCTTCTTGGAAACTCCAAACCCACAACAACTGCAACTAGAGGCGCGCACGAGATCAACGACACTCCATCCTCAGTTGATGTGATCGTCGTTCTTATCTTCCAAGCGACTGCGAGCAACAGCAAGGAGGCGCCATGCATCCCAGTCGTCCAGGCATATAAGTTTTGACCTGAACGACATGCCAAGCAGTCAAGCCCAGCAAAACCAGATATTAGAACAAGCAGGCAACCACTAGTATTTGAAGACTGGAAGAACCACACAGTTGGTGGTGCTTGTTGCTCTCGGTGTCTCCTCCTTTTGGTCCTTTGTGGTCGGGCTTCTTCTTCGGCCCTGGTAGCCCGGGGTGTTGTGGGACCATCACGAAACACAACAGCTGTCGGACCCCCCACGTGTCGTTGGAGTCCCTTCTCTCCATGTTCCGGTGACCGGGTAGGCGAGGGGCACGCACGACTCAGACCTTACCAACCCGACTCCAGGCCCTACCACTGACAAGTCCGTAAAACAGGTCATACTTATTGTTTTTGTGTCCACGGACCGCCACATCCATTTCAAGGGACCTCTTAGCATGACACGAGATGAAGTGTTTGGATGTGTTTGGCAGAAAAGCGGGCATCTGCTTCAAAGCACCACCCACATTATAAAACAACCCCCAAGGTTGACTGAGCAAATGCAAGGTTGCTGAAGAGAAGAACGCCCAGGCAGCTGCGCAGATAGCCTGGAGACATGCATGCATCTCCTTATGGCGTCAAGGCAAAGAAGCAGCTCAAGAATCTGCCTGGACCCTATGCCATAAACCCTCTTGGATTCAATACCTCCTCCTGCAGGCAGGAACTGACCCCCCCAACCCCGGAAGAACCTTCTCCGGTCTTCGGAATGCTCAAGAAACATCGAAACTCCGAGCACGCGACCAGTCTTGCGAGATCTGACCAAAGTGGTGCACCATTTTGGAGTCATGAAATTGAAACTGTATCATGTTTGCAGTGGAACCACCACAGCAGAAAGGGCGACCGGGTTTGACCTAAAATCCAGAGCTGACGAGCTGAAGAGCATCCGACAGTGCATCTGCCACACCTTTGGCATCTGTGTTGACCCCCAAAACCCATCAATGTATTTTGTTGATGTCCTCAGTTTTAACTCCATGACATGTACAGTATCCAATTCATTATCAACATGTGAGGCTTCGAGTTCGGAATGAGGTCGGACTTCCCAACTCCTTCTGACCGACCCCAAGTGGGGCGCTTCCACCAGGCTAGCCTCGGTAGTCGTCGGTCTCCCGCAGTTCTGGAACCTTGGCCTTGAAGTGGCTCTGACCGAGGCGGAAGACCATGAGGTTAGTCCTCGTCACACTCGCCAGTCACTCTCGGTGCACAAACTTTGTTTGTTTGAAAGCCGGCACAAACAATATCTGGCTCTGGAAACGCTCTGCCGCGGTTGGTGTAGTTTTCCTTTTGCGAAATGTCTCAGATATATGATAGCTGGTGCATGTCATGGGCACAAGTCAGAAAAAGCATGTTGCGGGATTCGAGCAAGCCAAGCGTCGTAGTGGCCAACAGCACTGCAGGAAGCAGCAAAGGCACCTGTATTGACACCGGGAGACGCCATGAGGTAGTTGAACAACCAACACATTTGTGGGGGGGGCTCTCCCATGGTGGTGGCACACCAAGCCGCTGTGCCACAGCCAACCCTGAACCCAAGTTAGGGTATTAATATGAAAATCTATAGGTATGGCTGTAAGTCGCGGCACTAGGAGACCGTTTCGGGCACGACCGGGCACTGGCGGAAGTCGTTCGCTACATTGGTTCGGGCGAACATGGTGGGTCACGACCCATATCCCTTATCCATCCAGTCGTGGGCTCGTCCAGTCTTCGTTCCGAGATCCATGGGGGGAATATCTGTAGGTCGGTCACCACCTCAGAAACCCACTGATATATGTATAATACATAAATATATATATATACATCTATGATAATATATGAATATATGATATAATGTATAACTTAGCCGACAATTGATAACTGACTAGGGTGAAATGACTGGAAATTACCATCTGACTAAGTCATATGAAAGTAGGAAACACCCTGTTGGCAAAGGATATACAGTAAGTAGTCTTCCAAGGAAACATTTCCCACTTCTATGCTGTCAGTCGGAGGGGAACACTTTGACCGTGTTGGGGATTGGTGTTCTGCCAGCAGCAAGCGCTTGGAAACCCGCAACCCACCGGAACCCACCTAATCCAACACTCAGCCCGTGGGTCCTTCTTTCTCCGACGCCGCGAAATCGTTCTCGCCGTCAGTTGCCGAGGTCGCCGGTGCCACTCTGACAAGGCACAAAGGCTCCCCACAGCAAAGCCAGCTCCGCCAAGGTCACCAGCCTAGGTCACCGAGGTGGCTCAGGTCCGGAGCACAGGGAGCGGAGCTTCTGGATGGGTGCGGAGCGGTGGTGATGTTGGTGATGTTGGTGCGGACAAGAAAGGGCTGGGATGGGTATGGTTGGGTGTAAGGAAAGCTAGACAGCTAAGCTAAGCCTGGCAAGTTTAAAGAGTCAATAATTGGAATGCACCGAAAGTGTTAAATGATCACCAAGACTTTGGCATCCTTTTGCACTGGCACTAGGCCCTGTACTGCCTCTCTAGTCTAGCTCAAGATGCTGGGGGTGACAGAAAACATCACATCCCTTGCCGCAAGAAATCCGAGAAGCAAAGATCCTTGGCGTGCACGGTCCAATCCTCTGCTGGTACAAATCGGAAAGTAGGTTGACTTCAAGATGAGCTTGCCTTCCACATTCTTGGAGAAGGCCCACCTCGTTCTCCCGAATGTCAACAGCTTAGACATTTTGATATTAGAACTGCCTCGAAACAATCTTTTGTGAACTTGGGGTTATGCGTGTCTTTTAAGAATGCCTGCAAATGTTGGTCATGTGAGCAGGGCTTTGTAAACATATGTAGGGTATTATATCATTGAAGGGTGCCTACGGCAAGGCCTCCGGTTTGCACACGTTTCCTCGGTGCGAGCCCACGACATGGAGAAGCCTACGAAGGTGAGGTTTGGGTCGAACGTTGTTGGCTCAATCCTACGGTAGAAGTGGGGAACCTTTTTTGTCTACAAGCAAACTATCCAACAGCAAACCTGTCAATCTTGAGGTGAGGCAGAAGTTGAAGCTGCTTTTGAACTACTATGAACCACTATTACTATTACTATTACTATTACTACTACTACTACTACCACTACTACCACTACTACCACTACTACCACTACCACTACCACTCCCACTGCCACTACCACTACCACTACCACTACTCCTCCTGGCTGCTGCTGCTGCTGCTCCTACTACTCCTGGCGGCTGCTGCTGCAACCTGCTGCTGCTACTGCTGCTGCAGTTGCCTGCTGCTGCAGCTGCTGGCTGTTGGCTGCTGGCTGAAGGCTGCTGGCTTGCTTGCTGGCTAGCTGCTGACTGCTGGCTGCTGCTGGCTGCCGAACTATCTTGACGTCTTATGACAAATTGAGAACGAGTGGGCCAAGGGTCACAAGAATCTTCGCCTACCGGATTCTTACGAATCTACGGTGAGCCTACTGTGCGTTCGTTCCGCAAACAGACCATACCCAATTTCTCTTGTTAGAATGTATATATAGTCAGACTGTCAAGGGGTGAACAGCAGTCAAAAACAAACTTCAAAAGAACAAAGGGCACATCGCCTTGGTCAACCATCACTCCGCCTTGGTCAACTGATTGAATAGCCAACGGCTCCGATTTGGACATAGGCCAACATCGGCCTTCAAGGTCGGATCGACCAGCTGGTACCCTCTCTGGTACGCCAAGCCACACCACAAACATCATCACAGGCTGGATGAAAGCGCGTTGCAAGATCCTTGGTGATCAAATCAAACGTCCAAGCGAAGACGCAGAGCTTGAAAACACCAACCATGCAATCGAACCAGAAGGGAGCGCCCCTCAACTGGCACTGTTGTCCCGCTTCGGAAGCGGCAATCGGTGGCGGAGATGGTGGACACGCATTGATGCATGTGGGGGGAGAGAGAGAGAGAGAGAGAGTTGAGTGAGTGTTGAGTGTCTGTGTGTGTGCGCTGCAATTAACCACAATGAACCCAAGGCCCCCAAACTGAAGATTCTGGAGCTTCGACTCTCCCCCAGATTCATCCCGAGATTCACCCCGAATGGACTATTACTGACCCAGGCTCTTCTGAAGAAATAACGGCGCAAGGGTCTCAATCACCGAGCGCATACCTGGGCGCGGAAGACGTCGGTCGAAGGCGGAAGGAGGCGACGGCCGAAGTCTGGGTTACCATGAGGAGACGTCCAACAAATGCCCAGCCACCTGGAGAGGCTTTACAATCCAAGGTATACAGTAACAGTATTTAAATGAATGTTATTGCAAGAAAAAAAACTGTCATAAACTGTCTACCTTCAAGAACCTCTAGCAGCCCAATGTTATCCTATTGTCTCCAAAAATGTCTAAAAGGATCAGTCGAGATCTCGTCCCAGGCACAAGCTCCATGATGGCTCCAGCGGCCATTGGCCGCGCACAAATCGATGGTTGGATTCAGCAAATAGTTATGCCCTGCAGGTGGAATTGTGTGCAACTGCATGGTTCCCCGCGCAAAACAATGCACATCGTCTTCCAAGACTCTGACAGGTGGCACCCAGGGTGCTTTAGACAGTCTCGAAAGAAGACTGGGATGCAAACACCCGGCAAATGGTATTGGAGGTCTTACGGAGCATTTCATAGGAAAAAAAGCCTCTCTATATAGAAATGGACTGGTTCTTTGGTCATTGACCTGGAACACAAGACTTGTTCTGAGGCCAGTGTGAAGTGAAGCCTCAAAGAATGTGGAACACATCCACCCCGAGAAAAGTGTTGGGGTCAGTTGGGTTGTGCAGGCTGGCAGGCTGCACATGCTTGAACAAATATATACTGTACATCCTGGAGTATATAGATAGAATAACTATTGGCAAATCCTACAACCAATATAGGAAGCTGGTCATATTTTGGTTTGGTCATATTCTATCCACTCCAGGATGCTTGTACATTCGCTTTTGTTCAGACACCAATGCGGCCAATCGGTAAATCGAAGCTCATGCATCACTTGGTTCATCCAGCCAAGTTCATATGCACATGTTTCTCGTAAAACTGATTTGAGCTGGCTCAAACCATCTCGTGTATCACTAGGTCGGTTGACTGATTCTGCGCACTTACTTGCTCACTGAGTTGTTGGTTGAAGGCGCCCAGGAATAAACCCAACTTCAGGGTCTGCAGCAACTTTCGTGGTCCACCATACGGTCCACCAACAGTGGGTTACGCCACTGTCCATCCTCACTACTCGGTCCAAGTGTTTCCAGAAGTTCTGCACCAAAAAAACGAGTACTGAGATCTACAAACATCATCCATCAAACATATGTCTGAGATATGGATATGGAAATGTCTATATGGATATGGATATGGATCTGTCTGAGCATAGGTCTGAGATATCATTAAATGTCTGAGATATGGAATTGTCTCCAACTGTGACGAATCCCAGACGATGTCCATCTGTTGCATTCTAAATCATTGCAAGTGAATCTGAGATTCGAAGACGATTGAGTTCTTCCATCAGCAGATTCTAGATGCCAAGGTCTTCGGATCAGGAGAAGGGGAACAAAAACCACCTCATGAAACCGCCCTGCCACCCTGAAACCGCCAAGTCACCCAAAGTGATGTTGAACTCCTTGTAGGAATCCTTGAGTGCTAAGCACATCACAAGTGTTCACATTGAAGTGACCTTGTCAGCTTCCGGTGTCAGAACACATCACCTATAGTGTCCTTACCCTAGGGCTCCAAGTACCTTCTGAGAAGGTGTTTGGGCGTTCCAAATACCTTCTGAGGAGGTACGACTGGAGCCCCAGGGTTAAGCAAAACCAGGCATCTGATGCCTTATCGCACACTTTCCAAAATTTTGTCCATCCTCTCATGCACTGCTCGTTCAGCACGATGGCACACACCTCGGGCTTCCAGCTATGTCAAAGACACAGTAGTCGTCATCCGCAAAAACTTTGATGTAACGCGTGTGCCTATTGATATGAGCCACTGACACAAGAGTCGCCCGCAACTCTCATAATATGACTTTGGAAGCCCACTGTCGACTGAGTGCAGGTCGTTGTGCTTGGACAGTGATTGGCAAAAACACCAAGTAAACTTATATATCTGTCCTTGGTTCTCTTATCACAAGTTGTTCTCAAAAAGTTGTACACAGATACTGATCAACGTATATTATATATATATATACAAGCAGCTCTGCTTTATTGATGCCTTCTGAGCCTTCTGGTCAACTAAGGCACTGTGGCATATAGCCACATGGTCGCCAAACGCGCAGCCATCAGCAACAAGGATCGGCGCATGTTGGCCCAACGGCTAAAGCGTTCGGCCAAGCGCTGAGTGATGATCAGGTCAACTGAAAGCATGGCCAAAGCAGCTTGCCTGCGCAAGAACTCTGATCATGGTCCGGTGTCAACAGGGAAAGCGAGGATGGTCCGGTGTAAGTCTCATATAATTCCAATTGCGCTTTTTGGATAAATACGCACGTGTGTGTGATTGAGTGTGGATCCCTGCAAATCAGCAAAGGGTCCATTCGTTTCAAGATTCTGCAGCTTTGTGCTTAGCGGGGAATCCCTTTTGGATTAAATCAGTGCGGGGTGTCAGCCGCTATGATGGCCCAAATCGGCTTCTGACTATGCCACCGTGCTGGTAAGATGCAAGAGACACGAACATGATGCTTCGAACAAAATCCTGAAGCAAAGGACAGGTGCTTGTGTGAAAACTGTAGCCAAGCTTGATTCTCCACCAGTGTGTTCTCGCGTGGCAAGGTATTGGCGAAGGTGTATGCCAGCGACGGCAGGGAGAGGATGCAAACAATGCAAGCCCAAAGTCCACCGCAACACGCCTCACTGACAGGAGACATGTTTCCATTCTTCAGATTCCCTTCGCACACACACACACAAACACACCGAGCGTGCTGGCTGCCAATGTTTGACTCATGATCTCTGGATTGAAACGATTCTTGAGCTCACCGGCTAATATGGTCACCATGTCACCATGTCCCATGCGAGGGTCAAGACTCCTACTTTCGCTCCACATGCAACCTTCAAACATGGCAAGGGTCTCATTGGCGACAACAAACTGTACCTAGATCGGACTCATTTGCGACACCTAATCTGACTCAATGGCGACACAGCATGGGTTTAGGCGGCTTAGGGTTTTAGTGTTTAGGGTTTTAAGGTTACAGGGTTTAGATGGATTTCGGGTCATTGCTGCAGATACTGCTACATGGGAACCGTCGTGATGGAGAGGAATCACAGCACGTCACCACCGAGCACCCGCGTCAGTCATATCCGAGCAAAACGAGCGATTTCCGCGTCACATCCGCTTCGTCCGATGAAACCGCAGCACAACCGAGACCGAGAGCCTTTCCTTCAAACATCCTCAAAACAGAAAGGGACTTGAGAAGGGCCTCAGGTGCTCTCAGAATCTATCAGATCTAGTGATGCAGCTCTCCCATCTCTCAGGCTGGGATAGCTTGAATGAGCTGTAACGTGACTCATCGTTTGAGCTGCCTTAGGCAGCTTAAGGCTGGACCATTTGGGGATGCTGAACCGAGCCATGCTGAACATGCGGAACCATGTCCAATCAAAAATCAGATTAGTCCAGTATCTCCCCAACAACAGTTACTTTGAAGCATGGAAAGCCCACACCCTAAAAATTTACACTAGTGTGAGGTAGTAGAGGTTCAGGTTGATTAATACTCCATGGTGACCTCCATGCGTTTGTAAAGGTCCTTCGAGCTTCTTGTAAACTTAGTCCTGAAGAATGATTCTTGGGGGTCACATGGACACCAGAATAACTAGTTAAGGGACAGCTAGTAGAAAAAGACAAGTTAACTTGAATTAGCCCTGGATTTCCAGCTGAGAGCCTGAGAGCCTTTTTTGGAGATCTGAAACCGTGAAAAAAACCACCTTCCCTTCTGCTGAAACCGAGGAAAAATGGCCAAAGAGCTATTCGCAAGGCCCTCCAAATGCCACTTGATGGAGAAGCGCTTGGCGGCTTGATGGAGAAGCGCTCGCGGAAGGGCTGGCTTGCTTGCGGGAGGAGGCGAAGGGAATACATACCTGGGATGGTGGAACCGACGAACGTGGTGAACATGGTCTGGGACACACTTGTCTGGTCTTTCAGAAAAAACAACGACAACTCTGCTTCCCATGTTACAAAGAAGCGCCCAGAAACACCAGCAACATGACACCGCCAACTCTGCGTGTGGGTCCTGACAAAGTCAACAACGAAGACGAAGAGAACTTCTGAGAATCTAGACAAACCAAACTCCACAGAACTCACAAGATATAATAAGCATTAATAAGCTCTAGATATATACTTGAAATCAAATGCGTTTTACATGGAACAAATCTCCTGTTTCTCTCGGAGGGTCGTCTTCTAAAGAACCATGCGGATCCACAAATCCACCGTAAACCGAGAGAAAAAGATGACAAACAGACTCGGATCGACCACAAAACGGAAACATCTTGAAACGCGGAAACATACCACCGCCCCCTATCCCGAACGCCCCGAACAGAAAGCAGGTGTTTTGGTCCTCGCTCAAGAAATAGGCGAAGGTCGTTCGGGCAAAGCCTTGGCGAAGCCGTTCTTAGGCGCGAAAAGACGAACCAACCTCCAGGTTCGGGTGGGATGAGGTTCGGGTAGAAAGGAACATATGTGAGACATCACAAAACAGTCCTCACATCTGATTGAAGTTCAAAAAGAAGTATGCTTGCAAACAGTCATTCACATGTTGTTTACAACAATGTAGAAAGGAATCTTAATACAGTACGACTCTTCCACATATACTCTCTTAATGACTCTTCATTCTTGACTCTTACTTATTCCTGGAGATGGGATAAACCTCATAAACTTTAAACCATCAACCAGCTCTGACCTCTTCGGAGTCCGGAGGTTTGTTTGTTTGTTAGGTGACCCTTTGACAGGCCCTTTTGTGAGCTCTCACCAAGCAGGACTTCGAAGAACCAGGAACATCTATCTGTCATCGTATTAAAGTGCATAAGTTGAGGCCAGGATGTGTCGATGTTTGGTGTCGATGTGTCGATGTTTGGTGCCAATAGGGGTGTGACCTTGCACACAGAATAGCATATCAACCATGGATTGTGATCCAACATGGTTGAACTAAGTTTGTGTCTTCTACCGCACGTGGAAGTTCTGAACTAGGTTGCCAAATGGCTAACACTGAGCTGGGAGGTTTGGAGGTTTGGTACTTAGCGAGCTCCGTGAACTTGGGAAGCAAGCGGAGAGTGTGTCCCTAGGCTCTATCGCTCTCCATTCCAGCAGCAAAAGTTGATGAAAACACATGAAATGGAGGGTACCCGCACTTGGAAAACATCAAAAATATCCCAAATCCCTACCATCTTGGGGGGTGGGGGGTGGGGAGGTCAAATCCAAACATCCATCCACATTATTCTATAGCCATGCCACCATTGTTCAGCCGAGATTCTATCGCCACACTCGTAGTACTGGGCGTTCTTCAGGTGCAAGGCAAAGAGAAAAAAAACCGATAGCTGACAAAGCACCTGTCTCCGGCCGACCAGTTCGCCCAACACAGCGTACACAGCACGATACATGCACAGAGGTAGCTGCAGTGAGGTAGCTGGGAAAAAATACACATCATTCCACCTGTCGTCACAACCCAACAGGCCACACCCTGTTCTTGTAACTATGTTTTTTGGGGAACCTTGATTGAAAACCTCCACACAAAGTCCTATCTGTCCCTTCTCCCCTGTTCGATCCCTGGTCGATTTTTGCGGCCGTGGGCCTGCCATTTTCAATAGAAATACATGGGATCGGCGAGTCAAATCCTTGGATTTCTGAAGAGAAGGGACTGGAAGGGAAGAGATACAAGATCTCAATTCCCAAAAATGATCTTTCCCAAAGACAATCTCATTGAATCTCCTAAAACGTGCTATTGGAAAGCACTTCTATCGCTTTGGGAGGCATGCATTCTCAAAAGGTTTCCACAGAACAATGAAAACAGCTGAATCGAGCAATCATAAGGATCCTGTCCATCATCCTGTCCATCATCGAAGAAGTTTCTGATGCTGAACATCAGAGCGTCAAGCCTGGGAGAACTGCAGCACTACCTGTCTGTTCATGAATCTGAAGGCTGATTGCAAGCCCTTGGACTTGTTTTCCTTGAGAAATCAGTTATCAACATTGCTTGATCTTGTTTTTTTCAGTGTTCCCTTAAGTTGATCCTCGCTAGAGAATTGACAACATTGCGTTGAAGGGTCAGAACTCCTCGCACCACCTGATGCCTCAGGGTCAGGTTTCTTCTCGATTGCAACCGCCCAGCAGCCAATGGTGGCCCAAGGTGAGTCTGGCTCCAAAGATGAATAATAACATCAGCAAAGCAATCAGCAGCAAAAGCTGAGTTGGAGTGTGGCTCGACCTTGCTTTGTGTGGTAGCGACTCTGACACCATCCGTCCAAACTCTACTGGGCATGTAGTGACAAGCATTGAACTCATATGGATCTTATATCATTGTAATATATATATATATGTGCCAACAACGACAAACATATGTTGTTATAGTTGGAATATATATATATAGGTACCTTATGTGCTAAATATGATTGGAATTACCAACAAACATGTATCTGGCATGCCAAACTGGCACTTCGTTTATTTGATTAGTTTTGAAACCCGTACGATCAAAATCGTTGGTCAAATTATATACTGTATTTGGCGGTGTGACACCAACAAAACAACAAACGAAGAGTATCGACAAAGAACCCAAAAACTATTGATACAGTGCTTTGATAAAAGAAGTGATAATACACGTATCTTATGGCTGCATTTGCTCATTTACCAAGAAAGCCAAATAACCATAAAACACTGGTTGAATGCACCTGAACCAACAAAGGTACCTGGGTATGCATTAAAAAGCACACAAAGATTGTATACATGTTTATACGCATATCACTACACTACATATGCTAAAATATGCTAAAGCTGCTACTGCCAAGCTTAAATCCAGTTGAATATATCACACAATCGTAGGCACCCACTGCGAAAGAACCACATGACCTAACGACATCGAATAGAGACATGCAAACTAAAAATGAGAACAACATGAGAAAACAAATGAAAACACATATGTCTATGCTCGTCGGGGAAAAGTCAACAGCCTATTATTGGCGGAATGCCAGCAGTCTATCCCCAGTTCCACTGCAAAACCCATGCAAAAGCTGCACCGGCGAATGCAGCTCCAAGAAAAGTAACATGTGTCAGCAAATCGATGACATTGGACCAGTTTCATCAGATCAGGATTTATCTTTTCGATGTAATCATCTGGTGTTTCATCCTCGCAACCAGTTTCATCAGAACTATAGGGTGTTGTTTTTTTTTCAAGATTTATCTGTTTGCACTGCAACGAATCAAAAGAGAGTGGGCACTTGACATCTTTCAACCAACATGTGGTGCCACATGCGGAAAGAATCATCTGCCACCAACCCAGTCTGCTGTGAAGGTGGCCGATAGGTGTTCTCACCGTAGAACAGATCTAAGAACAACGCTACCCAAAGACTGGCGTTGAAATTGCAAAGAAAAAAGGTTTACCAGGCGGTGATATGCCTATATACATTGGGGTGATGGATTTCTGGGGTCTTTCTGTGCGCATCCAACAATCCAGACCCAGGTACACATAGAGGAAGGGCTGACGTTCGCGCTCATGGATCCAGGAAGGAAGAGCCTCCAACCCATCGCCCAGCATGTTGCCAAAAAGGATCCTCAAACAGCGGCGTCTTCTTTTCCCCGGTAGACGCAGAAAATTGGGGTGGTGTTCTTCGTCCATAGTCATTCACTCCCCCCCCTGCCCCAAGGTAGTCATTCACTCCAAGCCGGACCATTGTTCTCCTGTGGTCTTTTCCGCCCCAAACGCTTAAGAGCACTGGGGAGATGGATCCTGGTAGGTTCCCCGAATGGAAGGAGATCACATGATATCACATGGATCTGTTGGGTCAAAGGTCGTGCGCTCACTTCACAGGCAAACAGTTTCAGATTGAACCAACTTCCCCTACTGCCCCGACCCCCCAATGACCACAAACTTCCATATATTCAGATCTTATTCTGCCATGGAAAGTCATTGGGCTCCAGCTCATTTCTCGAAGCCTTGCCACGTGGCCGCGCCACCCTTCTGCCACCCTT